CCTCTGTCTGCCCGAGGAGGAGAGGTGCCCGTTTTTGGGATGTCATGTGGTGACTCCCCACTGGGGAGAGTTAACCCACCCACTCACCAGCTGTCTGCAAGCTCGCAGGTTTGTAGGTCTTCTTTTTAAAAGACGAAAGCAATAGCTGCAACCCAGCAATGTACACAACCCAGGAGAGTGCCATGAGCAGAAGACTAAGATGCACCAAGGGGGGACTCTGTGTCCCTTTCTCCTGGCGAGCGACCTGTGTGCTGTACAATATGCATGACATTCGTGGGAGTGTTAGGAGCCTGGGTGTCATAGGAGAGGTTATGATGTCATTCACTCCCCATTTCCATTTCTATTTCCACCTTTTAAACAAAATGAGGTAGATCAATTAGAGGAGTTGTGAATACCTCCCTGGACTGCTCTGTGACTGTATAATCGGGGCCATCTTCTGCATTATGGGAGTCTTAGGGGTCAAATCCCAGCTTCCAGCTTGACAGAGGAAGAATCTGAACCTGTGTGTATCTTATCTCATGTGAATGCACTGCACCTTGCAAGGCTGATGCTTATAGGAAAAGGGCAAGCTTACCTGTAATTGTGCAAGGAACCTCCTCCTTCCCCAGTCTGTGCTCACTTGAGGTAGTCCAAGACAAGTTCAGCACTGTCAGATCAAGACCCAGCATCCAGGATGGGTTATGAATGCCATGGTGAGAGGATGTTTGCTACCGAGGTGTTTCTTAACACCAGAACCCGTTGTTGTGTTTACCAGTAACAGAGTTACACATGTTCCTCGGCAGCAATGCGAGAATGTTTAAGGTTGGGTGGGCACTGATAAAACCTTGTACAATACTAGTGGTAAGTGCAGTGTGCAAAGAGACAGGGCTCTGAGCAACCTACCTGAAGCTGTCACTGCTTGCTGCAGGGGGATTGCACTAAATGACTTCTAAAGGTCCCTTCCAACCCAGAGACACCAGCGTGACCTCCTTCCCTTCATAAATGGAGCACAAGGGCTCTGATTTGACACCTTCCAAATGTTTTTTGGGCATGTGTTTTTTCTACTGTGAGTGTTTACTGTAGTGAGAGGGAAGCTATGGGATTGAAACCTGTTTTAAGGGCTGATTTCCTCAACAAATAGATCAGCAGTGCTATTCCAAAAAGCATTTTCTGACTCTACAGCTGTCTAACTTGAGACTTTGGCCTGTTTGTGTATCATTCGTTCTGGAGTGCTAGAACAAGCCAAGTAGTTTCATAAGAAATTTGTTAAGGGACCATTCTAGGCAACAGCATCAGCAGCCAAGTGATGCTGTGCACAAGTTTGAGTAAACTGCTTGGGGAGCATTTGCACGTTACACTGAAGCACCCAGTGATAGGTGTTTCCCCATCTGCCAAACCCCTGTGATGTCTGAGTTCTTCCTGGGACCACGAATGTGAACACCTTGCATGCTTCTATACCCATGGGGCCGTCACTGTGCTGGTGTATTCAGGACCAGGGGAAATGTGTTGTTAGAAACTGGAATATTCCAGGTGGAAATGTCCTTATGGTATCACCATGCTAGTTACATGAAACCAGGCAGAACTCTGTAGCCTCATTCAAAGCCCAGATCATCTCTTAATAAAAGAAACTTGTCTAAAAGACATCTGTCTAGAGTGGGGATGGGGTGGAAGTGGGGAGAGGAATTGTTTCCTCTTGAGTGTGCAAAGGAAGAGTGGCTCTGCAGCTAAGTCAGGAAAAGCTGATATGGAAAAATGACTCCAGGAAGGGATTTACTGCTTTCTTAGAGACAGAAATGTGATTAGTGTTTGAAGTGTTTCTATGGGACTCCAGAAAAAAATGACTGCAAACCATGCCTTGTACTTGTACCAAAGGTTGCCCCCAGCTATTCATGGGGATGAGATTGTAGTTTAGTATAATCACACCAGTGCCAAGGAGCACCTCGGCGAAGGATAGATGTTTGACCTTTAATAAACCTTTTGTTTCATGTAATGTGATTTAACAGCTACAAATAAGAGAGAGGAGTAAGCATCAAACAGTCCGTGGCTTTTGAACCTCTGTAATAAGAGTGTTCCCAATCTGCTGTGTTGTGGTACACATGGGCAAGCAGCTACAGGCTTTTAGGTTGTCTTGGCCTCTCTCTTCATTTTCATTGCTTCAGACTGGGGCTTTTTCTCTGGCTACTTGCCAGACTCAGCAATACAGAACCATGTGAAAACAGGCCCACGCTGCAAAGCTTTATTTGTTTTGCTTTACAGCACCTACAGTGTAAATGGGTGAACTTCCTTTGGAAAGAAGCATGGAGTCTCCGTATGACAAGCAATTAAATCTTAAAACAGGGCTGGTATGTTTGTACAACACATAGAAGGGTGTTTAAATCAACCATAAGGCCATATCTACATTTGTGCTTCAGCCCATCTTATTTTAATCCGTGTATCTGCCATAACCAGTGAGTTGATTGTGGCAAGTAAACGTCACTTAGTTCAGGCAGCATTGTGGTCACAGCAGTGCTTTATTCCCCACCACACCAAAGTAAATGAACTTAGTGGGCTGACAGTGTTGTGGTGCCTCTGTTCTTTTTGGGAACCGGACTTGGAGATTTACCCACCCTTTGACCTTGCAGTATAATGCATGAGGATTTCTGGGAGAAAGGTGAGGACCGTGCATAGTTTCAGTGGTTGTCCCTGCTGGTCCCCATAGCCAGATTTCCCAATTCAGTATACCCACTGGTGTCTCTGTAAAGTCAAATATTTTTAGGGGTACAGACCTGGATCACAGAGATTTAACAGTGTTTTCTGGCCTCCCCTTGGGAGCTGGTTGCTCCCTAGCACTGGATATGTTAATCTTCTGTGTATTGCAGGGTGCTTGAAACAATACTCTGAAATCTTGTCTTGCAATCGTCATTTGACAGCTCACATCTCTGTTTCATCAGCTCTCCCCAGCTGGGTGGCCTAGGGATGCACCCCATTCTGCTCAGATTATATGGCTGTGTCCTTGCAAATACATTGGGACACATCACATCCACAGCATCTACCTCAGGGTGGTTAAGGAAGGACTCTGGGGAGCTTTAGGGTCACAAGGGGGAGTGGGGAAGGCAGCCTGAGAAATGTGGAGGGGATCAGGCAACACCTTTTAGTGCTACATTTGTTGTGGGAAAATTTAACTTCCCTATTTGTTACTTTCCTTCCTCAAAGGGTGATCTTCACCAACACCCCCTTAATTCCCAAACCAGCCCGGGTCAGAGGATGTGTCTCTGTCCTCTTCATCACCACAGCTCAGGGCAGGATGCTGAATGGTCTTTGGAGCAAAAACTTCTTACTGGAGGCCTGGTCTTCATTTTCTAGTTCAGTGACATTTGAGGCCAATTCCCACATCTTTAGTCTACTCAGCCTTCTACAGAGCATCTTCTCTGCCAAAGGCAGAGATTGGATTGATGTATGTGCTCTTCTGTGTTTGCTTTTACCTTCAGACAAAAAGAAAATACTGACTATATTCCCTCCTTCATTCACCACCTGATTTACATTTAATTTATTTCTGTAGCCCTGAATAGATATTAGTAACTCATAATAGTAATAATAGGAGTTTCTACTAATAGAACTCCTTCCATCTGTGGAGTTCAAATTATGGACAAGCACCATTAGCCCCATTTAGAGATGTATTTAGCTGGTGCCACTTGTCCAAATGCAGATGTGGCTGCAAGAATCAGGAAGAAAAAGCAAAGGCTCCTGATTTCAGCCCAAGCTTCAGCTCAGCTGATGTGCTACAGCCATTTCAGGGGGAAAAAAAATATAATCATTCAAAAGACAAGACGTGAGGGATGCTCAGGAAGAAATTGAACCTCATCTCTGGAGACTGCTAATTTTCACAAGGCTTTCCCGAAGCAGCAAAAGGAGCAATGTCCCAAGCTTTGGCCTCTATACTTATCAGCATGAAAAAACCATGAGCGTGAAATCAAACAACAGGCTTCAAATGGGAGCTACAATGTTCTAATTTGTATGTACTATTATTTGATCTTCTAACCTACTAGGTTTAAGGTAAACCACAGCAGAATATCAAGCAGACATTAAATGAAACAGTGTCATTAATTCAATCCAATGAGATACGTTTTATATAACAAAGGGATTTGTTCTGATACTCAAACAATGTATATTAATGAAAGAGTTGAAATAGATTCATTTTGTTCTCAAAGCAAACACATTAAGGAAAGCCATCAAGAAGTAAAGAACATGGCAATTTTTTTTTTTTTTTTAAACTGTGCTTTATTTAGGGCTAAGCTGGAAAGCGTCATTCAATAATTACAGAAGATTACAAGGAGTTTTAGGGAATTGAGAGTGAAAGAGCAGTTGTATGGAACTGCAGCTGCGTTACACATCTGTACTTCCTAGCTGTGGGCTCAGTCTCGCTGTCCTTACTCAGTCAAAATACCCGCTATATCCCCGTGGGAGTTTCGACAGAGTAAGGACTGGAAGATCAGGCCCAGTAGGGAATTAAAATTAAAAATAAAAAACCAAAACAAAAACAGAAAGAGAAAGGAAGAAAGTTCAAGACCAAGATAAAAAATACTAAGAAAAACAAACAAACATTAGAACAGCGTAAAACATAATAAAGAATCAGAAACAATTGTCACACTGCTCAGTTGATGCAAACAAGTGTGAGAATGATGTAAATCAAGTTTTAAGATTGTGAAAATAAATTGTAATAAATATGATATACTTTAAAATATATGTGTTCTTAAATAATTCATTGTTTTTTCTGAGTCAGATTTTTTAAAGCAATGTCTTATTTTTTAACTGCTCTAAAGTCATTTACCAAAGATAAATATCGTGCTTTCATTAAATAGTTTTCCTTGTTTTTTCTCTATCATTACAATTAAAAGTCCTACAAAATATGCAAATTTATTTACAGAAACAGAGCCAGCATCTTTATTTTTTTTTTTTTAAACATCCCCCTGTTTTTCAAAATTCCTTGTAAACAGTTTCAGAAATTCTTCAAAGAGATTGTGTTTTCTTTTTACTTTTACTTCTTATTTTTTTGTGTTTTTTTTTTTTTTTTTTTTCTTTTTTAAGATTAAGGTTCTAGGCTAACCCCTTGTCCTGAAGGTTTCTAGAGCAAATATGGAAGCTACTGAAGCATAGGATGATGGGAATTTGCAGACAGCAGATCATGAAGACATGAAGCGTTTAGCTGTGTTTTGTTGTTCAAGTTAGAACTAGCGTCTGATAAAAAGACAGCTGTTTTGTTTCCCATTTGCATTGTCTACAGAATTGAGTTTTGTTTTGTTTATTTATTTTTTTTTTAATAGCTGGAATGCTTGCAGTTTAAAAAGCTGCCAAAATAGCCATTTCTCTCCTTTTTCTCCTCGGTAAATAACAGCATCCAACAGCAATTGGCAGAGTAGGAATTTATGCTCAATCTAAACTCTACAAAAATTACAGTTCTACAACATCTTTGTTTTTAGCATTAACGCTAACTTCTATGTAGTATTTTTTTTTGCTTTTTTGTTTTTTTTTTTTTTTTATGTTGTCTAATTTTTTCTATTATATAGGTATTTTAAACTTTCTTTTTTAAATTCTGTACAACTATTAGGATTTTAAATGGGGAGAGTTAGAAGCATTTACAAACCTTTTCTGTTTTCCATTTATTATCAACCATCTTTCCTTTCTCTTCTCTATGCCTTTTTATGTATTTATTTATGTAGTTATTTATTTATTTTTTTGCTTTTCATAGATATCCATTTTACCTGCCTTTAACAGAGCGATCCTTACGTATTATACAGAAAACCATATGAAAGCTTCATAGACTCTAATTAATGTATAACCAAAGAACCTCCCAAAGTATCAAAGAACTATTATCTTGCCGTTTTAAAAGCATTTAAGCATTTTTTTTTTAGTTTTTATATATTTCATATAATCGCTCTCAAAAACTGTTTTAGGAACAGCTCAGAGAAAAGGAAAGAACTTCCATATTTTACATACAGCTACAAGTCTGCGGTAAAAAGTTTTGTCCTTTGGTCCCTATATAGCTAAGGAATGACAGATAAAGATGCTTAGTGACTGTTACCATGGGTCAAGCATGGTAACTGCATCCTTGGTGGCAAACAGGCACTCCTTTTTCAGTATCCAGGTTTGCATCTCCTGTTTGAAGAAAAGCCGCTGTGGTGATATCAGTGTCTCTTCAGAAATCCTGGTTGATCTTGTTCCTGTTCTGATTTTACTTATGTGTTTTTTTGTTTATTTTCAAGCGCATGTCCTTCGAAGTCAGCAGATGTGATACTTTTCTTGAAGAAATGTTACAGTCTAAACAATCAAAGAGAGAATAAGTCTGAAGTCTTCAGCTTGATTGATATTTGCTGATATGTCAAAGGTGTAATCCAACAGTTCCCGTTTTTTTTTTTTTTAAATATATATATACTTTTTTTTTGTTTTTTTTTTTTTTAATTTCCTAAATGTGGCCCATTCAGCTGCTGCCCTAAAAAATGAAGAAGATCATTGCAAATTAAATCAAAAAGGGGAGGAAGAAGTAGGGAAGGTGGGGGGTGGGGTGGGGTGTATTTGGGACAGGGGGAAAAAAGACCTAAAAAATGAAAATGAAATTAAAACCAAGCCTGTTCTTTTGGGCCCAATCCTGCTCCTGTTGAAAGTAATGGGTGTTTTCTTCTCCCTTCAATTGGGACAGGATGGGGCTTCTGGTTTGGTGTTTTACTTTTGGAGGCATTGGCTCTGATTCTGCTCCCACTCAATGTCAACAGAAAGATTCCCCTTGACTTCAGTGAGAACCGGATCAAACCCAAAGTGAGCAAGGTAGTCACGATCATGATAGAGAAAAATATAATTGTTCCTAAGAGTAATAATAATAATAAATCAAAATAATAGTAGGGCATGTCTGCATAAATCTGTATCACTATGTATGTGCAGATAGCTGCATTTTAATTATTTTTAAGTGCCACTTTACAATGCCAGATCACAATCTTGCTTGGCGAGCTTTTGTACTGTGAAAGGCATCGAGAAAGAATAGTTCTACATTTTAATAAGGTGCCATCTACGACAGTGTATGAGCTTTCTGTGGAGACATAGCTGCCAATAACATCTACTCCTTTGTGAATGTCAGAAAGTTGGACTTTGAACAGGCAATTTATAAGAGGTTAAATAAAAAAAAGAGTGTTGGAATAAACTTTTTTTTTTTTTTCCAAAAAAAATGTAAAGCTAACATTTCTTAAATAAAAAAGTTGTTTAAAAAATGTAATCATGATCCGACTAGGCTTGACATTTAAGTAGGATGCTTAATCATTAAGGATTAGCTCTTATCTCTTTCTAGCAAGCAGGTTCTTCTTACACACTCGGTGATTTATTACATCAAGAAACTTAGAAACTGCAAAAGGTCCACTCTGGTGGAAAAGTGTCATGCGGAATATCAATCCATGCTGGCAGGTTTTCACACTGTTGGTTCAACAAACAGCAAACCGTACACAGCAGTCTAAACAATTACAACACCAAAAATAATAATAGAATAAAAAAATAAAAAACACTCGTCAAGGACCCTTTTTCAGTTGTAAACAAAAAGATGCATTTTGTTTTTTGATCTGGATGGTTTTTTTCCCACTCAAAACAATCCCTCCCTCCCCCTGAGCAATCAATTTTGGCTGGAGTTGCTGTAATACGGAACCTTAAAATTAGGAATTCTTGAAAAGACATACAATGAGGCTTTTCTTGGGGTTGCTTTTTGGATTGCTATAGGTTTCAAACTACTGTTACTATCATTACTCTTTTTGGTTTTTGTTTTGGTTTTGTTTTTTGGTTGTTTTTTTTTTCTTTAAATTTTTGGAGAGTGATTTGAAATATCCTAAGGGGAAAAAAAGATGTCAATTGAAAAAGGCCCCCAATTCTCCGGAAAAAAAATAAAATCACAAGATTTTCAGTGCAAAAAAATTAACCACGCATTTTTTTCTCTCTCTTTTTTTTTTTTTTTTCCAAATTATCTGTAGTTATAACAATCCCATTTTTTCTAAAGAATTAGGAATCCATCTTTTTTTTTTCCTTCTATGTGACATCTAAAGAAGCATAAAACGCTGACGAGAAATCAAACGACAAATAAAGAAACCACTGCAAGCACCAAAAACGAAACGAAAATGAGCACAGCAAAAAATTGTGGCAGCACAAAGTCAAAAAAGGCACATGTGATCATGACTGGCCAATCATCAACTGATACAACATCCAAGAAAAATGCTTCAATCACGGCACCTGCACGAAACTTGACGGCATGTCATGCAACCAATTCTTAGCTTGTTACATGACGCCATCATGTCACACTTTCAACTTCGAGTTGATTTGAACTTACGGCCTGGGGGACTGTATTCTCCACTTTCATGTCATTACGTGAACTTTTTTCCTAGCTCAGCGCGAGACTGTGGTGGATTTGACTGGCTCTTGGTTGGTTTTGTTGGAATTTGATTGAATGACAAAAGAAGAAAAGATTTTTTTTATATATATATATATTTATATATAGTGTGGAAAAGGGGAAAGGTGGGGAAAGAAGATATATATAAAAATAATAATTAAAAAAAAGTTACAAACACAGCATTGGTCAAGAAGATCTAATGGAAATACTTGCCATTATACTGTAGAAAATGAAACAAGAAGGAGAGCAAAACAAACTAACTGAACGGAAAGAAAACAAAGGAAGAAGAAAAGAAAGAAAGGAAGAAAAAGGAGGAGGCCTAGCCAGAAACACACACGTAAAACAAACACTTAAATGTAGACACACGGTCAACAGTGAACAGTAACAGAACGTTATGCAGCAGCTGTTGAGGAGAGCATGCACTGAATGAATGAGCGCAGACACAAATCGGTTTGCAAAGTCTGGAAAATAAATACATTCTCTGCCAACCAGAATGCTTTTGTTAGCACCGGCCTTTCCCGCACCACCCCCAGCATCCTGGGCTTTGCTGGACGGCTAGCCAAAGTCCTCTGGGAGTCTTTCCATTTCCTCAGATGGACTCCGGAGCAGGTACCGCTCTAATTCAATTACATCCCAAGTTTAAAATCATGGGGGAGTAATAGACCAAGAGCTGCTTTGGCTACTGACAATAAAAATTCTGAAAAAAAATAATTAAAAAAAAAAAAAAAAAAAAAGAAAAGCAACTACTGCTGGTTGCTGCATGTCCATTTAGCAGTTCACAGGATGGTGGGTTCCGAAACACAGCAATGCTGGTATGGTGTGGGAAGCAGACTTGTAGGAGGACTCAGATGATACGATGGTCCCTAAATCAGCATCATTAAAAGAAGGACATTTACTCCTTTAGTGTTTGGCTCTGGCCTGAATTTAAAAAAACAATGGGGGAAAAAGGAGAGAAGAGAAAGAGAAAGAGAAAGAGAAAGAGAAAGAGAAAGAGAAAGAGAAAGAGAAAGAGAAAGAGAAAGAGAAAGAGAAAGAGA